AGCGGGTCGCCCGCTAAGCGGATCACCCGCTAGTGCTCACGACCTTCCCCCTCCTTCTCGCCCTCCAAAAACAAGCGGGCCACCCGCTGAGAAGATCGTCCGCGAGCCAGATGTTCGTATTATTCCTCCTTCTCCTCGTCCTCCTCAGCCTCCTCCTCCCCCCCCCCCACTTGCTTCGCAGCCATTCCAGCGTCGGGCGGCCGGCGGCCGCCCCCCAACCCCCCTCGGCCTCCCCGCCCGCGCCCGTCGGCCATGGAGGCGCAGGAGAACGCGAAGCGACGGGAGATCCTCGATATGCTGAGCAGGCGAAGCATCAGCGAGATCGACGTCGCGGCGGCATTTGCCGCGTTGGGGGGTGATGCTGACGCGGTGCCTCGGAGAGAAGTGCGGGGGTGCGTGGGCGCGTTCACTGAGGATGTTCTCGTTCAGCTGCCCCTGGAAAAGCAGAATGGCGACGCCTGTGACTGGGCCATCGCCAAGTGCCAGCGTCTCCTTCCGGGGTGCATTGCCCAATGCGAGGGCTTCAGGCAAGAGTATCAGAATGCGCTGGCAAAGATGCCTGATTCCATTGACAGGCCGCAACGCCTGGCGCCAAACATAGCTGACGCGGTGCCTGGCGACGTCTTGAGATTGAACAACAAACGAAAGACCACGTGCTGGTATATCGGCATACTGGAGATGGGACGCGTGGCTGCCCGTTGGCGCGTTTCGCGCCACCGTTGCTAGAGGTCTTCGGGGGTACCTCCCAGGCGCGGCCAGGGCGCTGCTGCGTTCGCCCCTGCTCGGCGCCGGCAGCGTCTCCACTGCAGGCGCGAGCGTGTCATGCGCCGGTCATTCAAGGACTGCGCATGTCAAATTCCATCGGTTGATCGGCGACGAAGTGGCGACGAAAACCTTCTTTGATACGAAAGGCTTTGTCGCGAAGATGAAGAAAAATGGCGCGACTGATTCGATGGTCCACCATCAGACTGGCACGCGCCGGGTCGACGTCTCGTGCTCCGACCACGCGCAGTTCGATCGGATGACCGACGATGACGTCTGGCGCGCGCACGACATTCTGGATGCGGCGCGCAGGCCCGGGGGGCCGTGGAAATCTGCACAGACGACGATGAGTTTCTCGTTGACTGAGCACGGAGTCCTGGCCGACAAAGATCTCCGCCCACACGTGCACCCGCATTCTCGCCTTCTGCGCGATAGCATGCACGTGCATTTGGCGGGCGGCGTCCTGAATATTGAGATTGGCTTGCTTGTGAACTCGATCTGTGAGTGCAGCCCTGGATTTTCGCTCAGCTTGCCCAGGGCGCTCGCTGAGGTCGACTGGCACTGGAATCCTGGAGGGTTAACCAGGGCCCAATTGGCTGACATATTCAGCGAACCTCGGGAGAAGGCGTGGACATCAAATGGCGTTGTTCGCGCGGGGGGGGGGGGGGGGGGGGGAATGTTGCATGCGCGCCCGTTCGTTTGACATTTTGTCGCTGCGCACGTCCCCGTGCACATGGTCCCGCTTGAGCGCCAGGGCTTCCTCCGCCCGTGTGAAGTCATGGCCAGCACCAAAGAAGCAAAGCTTTATTCGACGCCCCTCGCCATGAAAGGTACGATGGAGCGCTCAGTCGGCCGTTTCTTGACGCGCACGAGGCTGCGTAACGCATCGATTCCATCGCCCCGAAAGACCATTATCAGTGGCGCGCTGTGGGAGGCCAAGAGGACGACACATGTCTCGATTGCTTCGTGCAGGAAAGGAAGAACAAGATCGCGAAGCAAGCAATGACTCACATCACGAACGCAGAAGTATGTGAGAAGAGCGTGCTGCAGCAGCTCCTGGTCAAGGTGTTCCCAGCGATGGACAACGTCAAGATGAACGAATTATGCGAGCCCGTGGCTGTGAGCCAGCCGCTGCCCGACAAGGTTGGTCAGCTTTGCGTTGTGCCCAAGCAGATGAGGTGGCGGGGCTAGTTGCTCAGCGCTGGCAGTGTGGCTTTCGTTCAAGATCTGGCAGTGGAGGTTCAAGCGCGCGTTTCGGTAGATTCCGTTCTTGGGCTGCTCGTGACAAAGCTTGCGCTGGTGCGTCGCTCGCCGATGGGTGGATACTCTAGTTGAAATAGAACGGGGCAGTCCGATATCCTGGTGCCCGATGGGGCGCGCAAGGCGACGGGATGGTTCATCAAGAACGACAACACGGTGTAGTGTTGCATCGAGCGCGGGGAAAATCATCTAAAAAACGGATCAGCCGCTGTAGCGGATTACCCGCTCATCATCGTTGTCATCAACATCATCACCATCGCCATCATCGTCACCTTCCCTCTCCCGCCTCCTCGTACTGCCACCCTTCTCGTTGCGGGTAAAATGCGGGTCAACCGCTGTCGGATTAGCCGCCACGCGCGTCGTTATCCCGTTCCACTTATTATTATGATTATTCGTCCTCCATTTCGTCCGCCACTTCCTCTTCCTCCTCCTGTTTGTCCTCCTCCTTCTCCTCCTCCTTATCGCCCTCGTTGCTCCGAGCCGTGTTTTTGTTGTCCGTGCCTACGTCCAGTTGTCCCTCGCGGAGGTTAGCTACTTAATAGCCCACGTATGGTACATACTTAATGTAGTTGTTATGTATTCGCTTCTTCCTATCAGGGATATTATGTTAGATATGTAATCAGTGGTGTATATTACTTGTTATATTGCATGATGTCGTGCACATGATAACACCTATAAAGCACAATACATTGTATGAACACGTTGTCATACTTGCAAACCGGGATACTACTGTCTATTGGATAAATGTGTGTATATATAGTATGAATTACAATAACTCTTCCAGCCATCGCAGCGGACGCCGCCCCGACAGCGTCTTCTCGCTCCGATGGACACAACGGCCCCCCAAGAAATTCGAAGCTGGGCCAAAAGCACCTCTCGCGGGAGAACGGAAGAGGAGCGCGGATGGATGTCTACAAGTGGGGAGGGCGCAAATGGGGTGGGAGGAGGAGGGGGGGAAGGAGCAGGGAGAAATGAGGAGGAGCGCGGATGATGGGAGGAACGATGGAGGAGAGGGACTCCGAGAACGGGGGGGCAGGAGGAGGATGAGAATGCGACGGTCGGGAGCACGGCGCCAGCCACCACCCCTACGGTCAGCTGCCAAGCAGCGCCGCTGGTCGCCGTGCCGCGCCGCTCGTCCTCCGCGGGGCGGCGGGCTGGGAGGTATACTCCCTCGCCTCCCTCCCTCCCTTTCTCCTCCCTCCTCCTCCTCTCTCCCTCCCTCCGTCCTCATTCTCCTCCAGGCGGGGGCAGAAGGATGGGGGACCCCTCCCCTTCTCCCTCCACGTTCTTCTCCCTTCTCCCTCCGCCATAAAGAGAAACTTTTGGCGCTCCGAGCGGATTCCGCAGATCCGCGCTAGAGACCCCGTCCCTGGCGCGCGGAGCGCGCCAGGAGCGGTGCCGGAGGCGCCGCCGGGGGGGGGGGGGGGGCACAGCGCGGATCCAAGAACTCCGCGCGGAGCGCCAAAAGTTTATGTCTGTGGCGTGTTTGAAGGGGCCCTGGGACACACACATAAAGACACACAAATGACAGGATTCCCAATGTTTTCCCATAGTTTCTTGGTTCTTGTCTTCCCCCCCACTTCCCATGTTTTCGCATATCTCGCTGGGGATCGACGATTGATTGTGTGTGTGTGTTTGTTTGTGCTTTGTTTGTGTTTGTGCGTTGGGTTTGGGTTTGGGTTTGTGTTTGTGTTAGTGTTTGTGCTTGCGTTTGTGTTTGTGTTTGTGTTTGTGTGTGTGTGTTTGTGTGTGTGTGTGTGTGTGTGTGTGTGTGTGTGTGTGTTTGTCTTTGTGTGTGTGTTCCCCTTCTGTGTGCTACCTTCTTCAACAGAGGCCGGGTTGGGGACCGCTGGGTACACTCAGGGACGGCAGTGGCGACAGGAGGGCGGCCGGAGCACCTGCCGTCGCAGGGCCCCCGCGAGGAGGAGGGGGAGGAGGAGGAGGAGGAGGAGGAGGAGGAGGAGGAGGACGAGGGGGAGGAGGAGGAGGAGGAGGAGGAGGAGGAGGAGGAGGAGGAGGAGGAGGAGGAGGAGGGGAGAGGAGGAGGACGAGGAGGAGGAGAGGAGGAGGAGGAGGGAGGAGGAGGAGGAGGAGGAGGAGGAGGAGGAGGAGGAGGAGGAGGAGGAGGAGGAGGAGGAGGGGGAAGAGGAGCAGGAGGAGGAAGAGGAGGAGGAGGAGCGCTGCGTTCCTCGGCCCTGTCCGAGCGGCACCGGCAGCGCTTCCTGGCGCGCCCGCCGGGAGCACTGCGGCGAGCGCGCGCGGCAGACCGAGGTCGCGAGTGCTGGGCCAGTGCTCCTCCCTCTCCTCCTCCTCCCTCTCCTCCTCCTCCTCCCTCTCATCCTCCTCCTCCTCCCTCTCCTCCTCCTCCCTCTCCTCCTCCCTCTCCTCCTCCCTCTCCTCCTCCCCCGGCTCCTCCTCCTCCTCCCTCTCCTGCCTGCAGTGGTGGTGGAAAATCCGCCCATCAGCAGGAGCGGGGGGAGGCGGAGGGCGAGGCGGCCGAGGAGGCCGACGCGGAGCAGAACCGGGGGCAGGAGGAGCAGGAGGCAGGAAGCAGCGGCGGGAGCGGGCGCCGGCGCCGGAGGCTCGGACAGAAGCACCGACACCGTCACGAGAGGTTGCCTCCACCGGTGGAACTTTATCCTGGACTTTGGTGCTGGTGTTAGGTCGGGCATGTCCCCCTACAGGCGGATGTTGGACGACAAATATATAACATATACCCAAGCAGTGAACAAACAAGCATAAAACATCCAGACTAAAGATCGTCCCCAGACTATGTTTGCATGATTTGTGTGAACATTCCCCCCCCCCTTTGGATGGACATGCCCGACTTGATGCTGGCCCGGCCACCCAGGGAGGCCCGAGCATTGCCACCATCGCCGAGATCCAGGTCATCTTCCTCGGGTGGGGGCACACCGCCGATGCTCGTGTCGGTGCCCCCCTCGCGGGGACAGGGCCAGCACCCCAGCGCGCGCACAGCCCTACAGGACCTCCTGCCGCTCGCCGCCCAGCGTCACCTCGGGCATCTTGGTGCCGCGGCGGCAGCGCCCCCTGTCCAGGGCCTGCCTCTTCTTCCTGCCCCCCACGCAGCACAGGCCCCTCGGGCGAGCCCTGCCGTCGCCCGCCTCGCTGCCGTCGTCGCCGCCCTCCTCCCGCTCGCCCTGCGGGCCGCGCTGCAGCTCGTAGCCTCGCTCGGCCTCGAGCTCCTCCGCCCGCGGCGACGCGGCGGCGGACGCGTCCTCCCGCGCCGCATCCCCGCGAGCCGTCTCCGTATTTTACCAGCCTGGAACATATCCCTATCCCTATGCTGGGCACCTCCTCATCACGATGCCAATCTCAGGGATCCCCTTACTTTTGGAGGGCGAATCCCTGAGACTGTCATCGCCTTTTGGCGTGTCAATCTTAGGGGTAGGGATACGCTCGAGGCTGGTAAGTATTGGTGGTGCTCTCCTCCTCCCCCTCCCTCACCGTGGTGAGCGGCCCGAGGCCCGCCGCCTTGCCGCCGGCCCCCTGCTGCTGGTGCGCGGCGCCCTCCTTGGGGGGGCCCGGGAAGGCGAAGCAGCTCGGCTCGTGCAGCTCGGCCCGCTGGTGCGGGCAATAGTTATATCCACATCCAGTGCGTCTTGGATTCTTGGGCTCTCCTCCTCCTCCTCCTCCTCCTCCTCCTAGAAGCCGTAGACACACTAGATATGGATGAACATCTGGCCCCAAGAGGCTTGATTTCATCCATATCCGGTGCGCCTCGGCGCTGCGGCACCTCTTCCGAAAAAGTCCACGACGCTCTGGATATGGATATGAGTGCTGCCCGCAGCTGGAACTCCAGCTGGGGAGGCTCGGCCTCGTCCAGGTGCAGGTCGCACGGCGGCTGCTTTGTGCCCGCCTCGTGAGCGTCCCTGCACGATTCGCAGATGTTGCCCATGGCGCCGGGAGACCGAGCAGCAGACCTGGAGCCCAAACGGCTACAGATGCCAGCCGTGATGCTGGCGAGACTGCCGAGAAGAGCAAAAGTGAAGGGGCCCTGGGACACACAAATAACCCCCTACCCACGATAATAATGTACCCCCTCCTTAAGTCGTTAGAGTTTTTTATCGTCGACCAATAAGAGTTTGGACGGGGGCGCGGGGGCGCGGAGGCCGAACTTCATTATCACGGGACAAGTTCGCCATCGAGGTTACTTCCTTCTTATGTTGAGATAACAACATCAAGCAAAGCGAACACGTTGTCTCAGGATGTCTCAAGCGAAACCAATGTCCTTCTGTCTTTTTGTAGTTATTTCTGTCTCTCTTTCTTTCTTTCTCTGTCTCTCTCTCTCTCTCTGTCTCTCTATCTCTTTCTCCTCCTCCTCCCTCTTGCGCCCTGAACTTGTTTATCGCTGGGGTTGATTATCCGGGGAAAACGAGGCACGTGAGCTACCCTACACGAGCAGATGAAAATGTTAATTTTCATCAAGCGTTTACACATTCAATCTAATAAGTTTCAAACTTTGGTTTTTTGCTATCTCCTTCTCCTCTCCTCCTCTTGCTCTTTCTCCTCCTCCTCCCTCAAGGATGTCTCAAGCGAAATAAGCAATAAGTTGAAGATGTCTCAAGCGAAACAGACAAATGTTTCGAGGATGTCTCATGCGAAACAAGCAATTCGTTGAGGATGTCTCAACAGAGGCAATCCTCAATATATCTTTGGCTTTTTCCTCTTGATATCTCTTTATGCTGGCTCTGGCGGGCAACTTTTATTATCTCGCCGAAAACCCCGAACTTTACCATCCCTGGGGGGTTATTCTCGTGGGTTCATGGTTAAGTACAAACAAATAGCAGGATTCCCAATATGTTTTACGATATGTTCTGGGTTTCTGTCTTCCTCCCACCTCCAATATTTTCCCATATTTTTCTGCAAACCGACGATTCATTGTGTCTGTGTGTCTCTTTCCCTCCTGCTATGTCTGCCTGCCTGCCTGCGCGCGCGCGGGACACCGAGAAGCAGAAGGGTACCGACGCCACTCCTCCGAGGACCTGTCCCAGAGTGCAGTCTGACCAGACCTCCCCGGCGAAACCCAGCCGTGGCGACGGGGGCCGCCCAGGAGGCCCCCAAAAAGGGGAAAAAACGGTGGCGGATCGGACGATCCAACGGAACGGAACGGAACGCTTGTGCGGGCATGCGCCCGTCCTCCTTAAGGCCGAGGCGGGTGAGGCCATGGCCTCGCATGAGAAGCTGCGCGCGTCGGGGGTCTACTCAGGACAATGCGTGCTTCAGGAACTGATTTCCCGACAGTCCCCACTCATCCGTTTTCTCATCCGTTTTCTCATGGGGGATCGAACGATCCAGGTCAACCAAAACCTGGGTCAGTCGGGCGTTGCAGGATGCCACAGTATCCTGCAGCAGCCTGCAAGATCCTCGCAGTACAGGTACCCCGAATCCGTCCGAAGGGGGCAGAAATTAGGACCAGAAATATTAGGGATACGTATGGGGGTCTTGTTCCAAACCATCCTGTGGTGTGGGGTCCTCGCTTTGAAGAGGCAGCGCCCCGCGCTCTCACTCCTTCTCCTCCCGCTCCTCCCACTCATCCTTCCTATCCTTGCCTTCGCCCTCCGCATGTCTCTGTTTCGGTACACCCCTCACACGTTGCGTGGCCCCATAGGGAGCTCCACCGAAGGTCCACATGCCAGCGTTCGCATGCGCCCGCCGCACTCATTTCGGCACACCCCTCACACGGGTCGTGGCCCCATAGGGAGCTCCACCGAAGGCCCCAGCGGCTGCGTTCGCATGCGCCCGCCGCACCCATTTCGGCACACCCCTCACACGTTTCGTGGCCCCGTAGGGAGCTCACCCGAAGGCCCCATCGGTTGCGTTCGCATGCGCCCGCCGCACCCATTTCGGCACACCCCTCACACGCTTCGTGGCCCCGTAGGGAGCTCCACCGAAGGCCCCAGCGGCTGCGTTCGCATGCGCCCGCCGCACCCATTTCGGCACACCCCTCACATGTTTCGTGGCCCCGTAGGGGGCTTCCCCGAAGGCTTGCCCCATCGGCTGCGTTCGCATGCGCCCGCCGCACCGAGCTCCACCGAAGGCCCCAGTGGCTGCGTTCGCATGCGCCCGCAGCGCCCATTTCGGCACACCCCTCACACGTTGCGTGGCCCCATCACCGAAGGCCCCAGTGGCTGCGTTCGCATGAGCCCGCCGCACCCTTTTCGGCACACCCCTCACAGGCGTCCTGGCCCAAGAGGGACTCACAAGTGCGTGTGGTTTGGTCCTTCGCCAGGCAATGTTTGCAGATGCCCCAAACGAAAACACCAACATTTTTCGGGATAACCGATAAAACCGACGACCAAGTCAGGCCACGCGATCTTCTTGTGATTAGGGTTGCCCGTCGGTCGGAAGGAGTAGGCAGGAACAAATAGAAAGGCGATGGAACTAGTTTGAAGGGGCCCTGGGACACACAACTAAAAACACAAAAACCTAATGATCCCCCATCGTTTCCCATATGCTCTGGGTTTCTGTCTTCCCCCCATGTCCCATATGTTTCATACTTTCTTGGGGATCGACGATTCATCGTGTCTGTCTTTTTGTCCTCCTCAAAGGAGGCGCTGGAAGCAGTTTGGGCTCCCGCCCGCCCCCCCCGAAGAGAAGGGGCGATGGGACACCACTCGACCCTTGAAGGCGCGACGGCGCCCAAAGCACCCTGGGATCTGGACTCGGTGGTTTCGGCGGTGGACAAGCCGTCCTTTAGTAGACCTCCCCTTCGTGAAAACGGCCTGGGACCGAAACCGACGGACCTGGACCCGCAAATATGACAGCCGCGACGCCCCCTCGCGAACCGAAAACGGCCAATTCCTTAATCGACGTGTCAGAGTAGAACGTCTGTCCACCCCCGATGGTTCAAACATGGGGCCCCGAGGGAAAGGATCTGGACTCGGCGGTTCAAAAATTGAAGGGGCCCCAGGACACACAAATAAATACACACGCGAATAAAACAATTCCCCATATTTCCCATATATCTTCTGGGTTTCAGTCTCCCCCCCCACTTCCCATATTTTCTTATATTTCCTAGGGAGTCGACGATTCATTGTGTCTGTGTGTTTTTCCCCGCCTGAATGATGGGAAACCACTCGACCCTTTAAGCAGGAAGGCGCCCAAAGCACCCTGGGATCTGGACTCGGTGGTTCAAACATGGGGCCCCGAGGGAAGGGGTCCTAAGGACGACGTGCCTCAAGCAATGTGAACTCGCCCTTGGACCCCTTCCTATCCTCAGGACCCCATCTCCCAAGGCCCCATGTTTGAACCACCGATGAGTGTCCGGGGGGAACGCATGCGGACAACCGTGGACCGTCGTGAAACTCTGACATTTGCCACTGGGGTTCCGGTGAAACTCCCTACGGGGCCACGGACCGTTGTACTGGGTGGGGGAGACACCGCGGAAACTGCAGGTGAGGCCTTCGGTGGAACCCCATATCGGACCACGAAACGCTGTATTCGGAGAGGGAAGCGCACTTGGATGGTGCCACTGGCGCCGCTGGTGGACCTCCCTATGGGGCATCGAAGCGCTGTACTGGGTTGGGGGGGCGCACGCGGGCGGTAGCGCAGGGACCTTCGGTGGAATTCAGTAAGGCGGTAGCACTGGGACCGTCGGTGGAGCCCCCTTGGGGCCAGACGCTGCACTGGGTGGGGGTGGGGCGCGTGCGGGCGGTAGCATTGGGGCCGTCGGTGGAGCTCCCTATGCGGCAACGGAGTGTTCTCCTGGGTGGGTGGGACGCAAGCGGGCGGTAGCATTGGGACCTGCGGTGGGGCTCCGTGTAGGGCCACGAAACGCTGTAGTCGGTGGAGGGGACGCATGCGGGCGGTCGCGCTGGGACCTTTGGTACAGCTACCTATGAGGACACGAAGCGCTGCACTGGTCGGGGGGGACGCATGCGGGCGGTAGCAAAGGGGCCGTCGGTGGAATTCCCGAATGGCCCACGAAACTTTGTGATGGGTGGGGGGGACGCACGCGGGCGGTAACACTTCAACTTTCGGTGGAGCTCCCTGTGGGGCCACGAAGCGTTGTACTGCGAGTGTGTGTGTATGTGTATGTGTATGTGTGTGTGGGTGGGGGGGGGGCATGCGGGCGGTAGCATTGACGCCTTCGGTGATATTCCCGATGAGAACACGAAGCGCTGAACTGGGTGGGGGGGGGCGCATGCGGGCGGTAGCACTTGGACCTTTGGTGGGGCTCCGTATGGGGCACGAAACGCTGTATGGGGGGGGGGTCGGGGGCGCATGCGGGTGGCAGCGCTCGGATCTCAGGTGGAGCATCCTATGGGGCCACGAAGCGCTGCACTGGGTGGGTGGGACGCATGTGGGCGGTAGCACTTGGACCTTCGGTGGTTCTCCCTATGAAACCACAAAACGTGCGAGGGGTGTGCCACGCCGACCACGTGAAGGAGGAGGCGAAGAGGGGGAGAAGGAGCGGGCGGAGGAAGGAAGGAGGGAACGCGGGGCGCCGTGTCTTCAAAACGAGAACCCAACACCACAGGATGGTTGGGAAAACAAGAGGGTCGGTCAGAGGCGTGTGCAGTCGGGGCGGTACTCCTCGTCGAGGTGGCGGTGGTGGTGGT